CTTTGAAGCGTTGTATCTTAGAAATGATTAAAGATATCTTACTGGAATTCTCCCAGGTTTTTATAACACTATTAGACTGTATTATTACTCTCCAAGCATAACAGAAGAATTGTGATGAAATCAGTCATAAAGGATTGATATAAAGTTTCAATGTATATATATTATTCCAGGGTCATTTTCCAACTTATTTAAGATGATCTTCACTCACTAACCTTCTAACCTGGAGTAACAAGGCGCCTCAGAGGTTTCACATATAATTTCATTTTCAAGTCTTTTTCGTTGCTGTTTGGACTGTCATAGCTGAAACTCATCTCTCATATGCCAAATGTCTTATGGATTAATTTGGATCTTTTCCAATTGATCTCTTTAGCTCTAAGTTGAAATGATGATCCCTTTTCCTATTGTAACCTCCTGATTCAGTTTTCTTCTTTACTGCTCCCTCTTTTTTAAAACTTATTCACTGTTCTCTTGATGGTTCATGGATGGACTTTGAAGATGGAAGCCAGTGTATGAATATTGGTACCATTACTGAAGACCTGAATGATTATTTTCCCCTCACCATTGTTCAGTTGGGAAGACATAGTGCGGCTGACACAAAACAATTTTAACCTTTTCTCTTTCTAGCTGAATAACAAAGGATTTTCCAATGATTCTTATGACAAATGGCGTCAAAATGGCTAAACATCTTAACTGAAAACCTGGAAAAAAACTCAATTAGTTTAGTGGTTTTTAAGATATTAAACACTTTGTGTGATGGACAATTATACTGTTACATGATTTGGACAATTTTGCTGTTACAACCGGTGTATATCTATATATATATATATATATATATCCACACACACACACATTTATATTTTAACATTTATATATACATTTATTATATATATATATATATATATATATATATATATATTGAGGCATGCGATATCTTTGAGACTTTGTATTTAAAAAGTCAACAAGCAAAAACTCCTGCTTGCTCAACTTCCATAGTGAATGTCTAGATAAATATAAAATAGCCCTAATCAAAAACTTAATCACTCGAGCTTTTTACATATTCTCATCAAGAACAATATTTTGCAAAGAACTTACCAATATAAAACAAACACTCATAAACAACAATTTCCTCAATAAATTAGTTGACCAACATAGAAAACACTAACTTTCAAATGTCCATAATAATAACAAAGAAAATCAGACAGACAATAATAACACCATTAACCTATTTTTTCGGAATCAGATAAACACCAATTACATATTTGATGAACTAGTTATAACTAATACCATCTACAGATACACCAAACCTGTCCAACAACACAAACAAATTAAACTAATAATATACTATAACATTTCATATACTTTTATTATATACTAACATAGCAGCCATCCTTTGGGCAAATTTTAGGTTAGCTTTGAGGGCTTTTTCACCTTTGGCCTTTTACCTGTACTTGGCAACTACAAAGTCATCTCTGGTAAACCCTGCACCTGGCTTTCTTGATGGTGTGGTATAACATTGAGTACAAAGTCTATTCTGGTCCAATCTAGGGTGAGATCCATAATGGCTTTTAAAGACCATACATCTGAAGAAGGCCAAAGAATATATCAGTAGAAAATGTTAAAAGCAACAATGATGAAGATAATAACCAGAAAAATCCAGAAAAGAGATGAATTCATTTGTTTTTTTATGGATTCAGTTGGATTTACTGAATGCATTGTGATATTTGTAAAAATTTTATTTAGCATCTGCAAAGAAAAGAATGAATTGTGTAACATTGATTTTCCTCTACCCTGCTAAAGATATTATTTGGAAAATTAGCCTGATCTTCCATCATAAACAATACAGTCAACACAAGTAATTTAGATTCATGAATTTTAAGATTCAATACATCTTAGATTTTAATCTGCAAATTTCAAACAAAGATAAAAAAAAAAGTAAAACCAAATTAATTTAATAAACAATGTATTAAGTTGGAAAGAAATTCTTGTCGCATTTTGACATGCGGATACTTTTTCAATAATTACCATAAAATAAAATAACTCACCATTTTTACATTCTAATTTTTTTCTTTTTTGCAGATTACTTAAAATCAGTGTGGCTAAATTTTGTATCAATTTTAACCTTTTAAAATGAATTTAGATTATATCCATATCAAATACTATATGAATTCAAAATGGGGTTTTTGCCAACAAAAGAGGCAAGAAACATTCATTCTGTTTACAGATATGCCAACAGTGGCTTGGCCAGTTTCAATTGGGAAATTTTTCTCTCAAATATTCTCTTTGATCTGGACAACCAAATTCTGTATGGTTCTGCAAACCATAGTTGAAGAAAATACTAAGCAAACTGCATTAGAATTACCAAAACAGTTAAATGCAAGTTACACTTTGATAATAAAATATCTTCATGAATTTTCTCCAAATAAGAGCAACTGATACTCTGTTAATTAGGCTTCCCTAAGCTAAAGAGGACATGAGTCCACATTTCAGTGGAAAGTAATTCTTTCTTGTTTCCAAATCTATGCTTTTTGCTTTCCGGCTGACTGCTCAAAATGAGATAAAAAGCAAGTTATTGTTGTGTGGGAATATGCAACATAGACCTTGTTTAAGGTGTATGAAACAAACAACAACATAAATACATGAAAAGTTCAAACAAAACACAAAAGTCTTTCTATAAAAACACTCACATATCCCCTATCACCACTTAAAATGTATCTAAGTTGTAACAATGTTTTACATCCCCATTTGATTAACGTTTATTCTGAGATTTTGACTTTTCAATTAAAACAAAAATAAATTATAAAATATATGTATTTTTTCCTCAGTTCTTCTTTAAATAATTTTATATTTTAAACTTAACACAGGTTAAATTTAAAATTGGTAATTTTATTTTCCATTTTATAGTAAAATTTAAAATTGATCAGTTAGAATGATTTCTGTTTTTGTCTAACCCTAACATTAAGGCATTAATAATTATAATCAAGGGTCATTGTCAAGTTTTTTGAACTTTCATATACTTGCATTTTGATTGATCATTGCAGCTTATGTAACAGCATTTCCCCTATTGAAGGGTGTTTGGTCAATTTGAGCCTTTTAAAACTCTTTATTCTACATTCAACAACATCACTTGATAAAACACCGGAAGTGTCAAAACAAAATGGCTATTTTTGTAGTGATTTTATAACATATTTATGTTATAATTTTCAAATAAATTTATATATATATATATATATATATATATATATATATATTCAAAATTTTAATACAAGATTTGCACATATCTACTTGCAAAAGACTGGGGAACAAAACTTAGTGGCTTTATTGCCTTGTTTGGGTTGGGGAAAAAAAGAGAAAAACTCTCAATTCATACCTTCCCAAAATATGTGTGAGTAGTATAGTTTTTCAGTTCTAAAACTGAACTCTTAGATCTTCATACATCAAAAGTGATGGGATAATTTCATACCCCATCTTATAAAAAATTTTATACAGAATATTTTTTTTATTAGCAATGTTCATAGTGGCTCAAATTGAGGAATCGGAGAGCTGAGTTCAAATTCCAGACATATCCATTACATTCACTTACATGCTAATACCCTTGGGAAAGGTATGTATATTTTTTCTCCTCCCAGATATGGGTAAATAGCAGGACAGACTAAATTCTATAGCTTTGGGTGGCAACCAGTCTAGGAAAAGGAAAAACTCTGAATTCAAAAGCGGCCTGGAAAAGCTTGGGCTCCATCAGGCTATCTTGCCCAAGAAATACTACTTTTATTAAATGCAATACACATGGTGCCCCTACAACCCTATGGATCAAGGGATGAAAAAAAAAATTATATAAGTCGCTAAGAAATACTACATCTCAAATCAGACCTAAAAAATTTGTTTGAGGAACCCAACTTCTAACATATCATAGACCTAAGAATCTTAGGGAAATTATAGGAAGTAACTGAATTCAGATGATAAGGTAATCTGTAATAGACCAAATATAAAAACAACAGGATTGTCCCAACCATGTAACAACAAAAGGAGCTTATGATGTAACCACATTAGACACACCAATTCATTCACTAACTCAGTCACTAAATCTACTTTCAAAATCTACCATGACTCAAACTGTAGAAGTCATAACATAATTTACCTATTAGAATGCACAATATGCCAGAAACAATATATGGAAAAATCTGAATGGCCCTTTCACTACAGAATTAATAATTATTGTAATCACATCAAGTCAGCTCCTCATGTGTGTCTGAAAATTTTAATTTTTAATATCTTTTTATTGTTCAAATATATATATATATATATATATATATATATATATATATATATATATATATATTGTCATCCACAGACAGAAAGTTTTGCTGTATCATAGCTCATCAGTGTGGCTAGACATCCAATTGCTTCAAGCCTGGATCGAAACCCAACTGATTTGAAATCTGTCAGAGATTCTACCCACAAGCTATTGTCACACGGCAAAGAGAAAGGGAAATTTTAATGTTTTTACTAAGACATCAGTAGCTCAATTTGAGTAAATGAGCATTGCATTAGCAGCAGCAACCACTGTTTATAAAATCATCCTTTCTTCTCCGAGAGTTCAATTGAATTATTTTGAGAGCCTGAAATTTCAGGCTATCTTGCCCAAGCTGCAGTACATATGGTGCCCCTACGACCCTATGGATCATGGGATGAAAAAAAAAAAAGAAAAAGAAAGGTTCATTTAATTTGTTAAGAAAATATATCATTTATTATCTTTTTACACCATTGTTATTCTTTTAGATTTTTATATTTGTTTTTGAAAAATATTTCCAGCATCTTTTATTTTTACTGTTATTGAAATTATGATTTTCAGTTTCTTTTCCAATCTCATATTTCATAAATATTTGAGTGAAAGAATCATGAAAAGTTTGCACATAACACCCACACCCAATCTAATGTTTATGCATGTGACATCTGGTAATTTTTCTGATTTTTTTTTTGTTTTTTTTTTTTGTTGTTTTTAGGAAGCCTTCAATATGATAGATCAAAATCACGATGGCTATGTAGACAAAGATGACCTGATAGAAATCCAAACATCATTGGGCAAGAATCCGACGGAAGATGAGGCAGATTTCATGATCAACATGGCTCCTGGTCCCATCAACTTCACAATGTTTCTCACACTTTTTGGAGAGAAGTTAAATGGAACAGATCCAGAAGATGTCATAAAAAATGCATTTGCATGTTTTGACTTTGATAATTCAGGTTTGTCAAAATCAGTATTTGATCTTTTTCTTCACCTTCAGGACATTGGTGAACATGTCTCTCCACAGCTCCCTATTCTTTGTAGTTCTTTGTAAATTTTATCTGTTTTAATCTCTCCTAAACCCCGTTTTGCCATCTATTTTCACAAACTCGTTAGGTAGGTTATACACTGTTCTTCCTTTGTCCATCTTGTCTTCAATATGTCCTGTGAGTGTCAAATTTTCTAAGCCCTCTTTCCTCATTATGTACCCTAGAAATTTCAACTGTCTCTTTCTAATGTTAAGTATGTGTCCATTTTGCTTTCATTTTCTCTAAAACTTTGTTGTTGCTCACATGTTCAGTCCATGGTATTCTCGGTATCCTTATGTAGAACCATGTTTCTGTTGCTTCCAGTTTTATCTTCATCTGTGTGGAGATAATCCAACATTCACTGCTATATTGATATTACCTAACAGTTCAGTCTTCTTTTCTTTGTTTCTAATAAAAATTTTCCTGTTTCTTAATACTTTACTTAAATTTTCAATGCATTGCCAGATTTCAGTGTTGCACACTTTCCATCCTCTGTTAAAATATTTCCCAGATCAGAACAGATAGGCTTCAGAAACAAATCTGTTGTATTTGTTGTGGATTAATTAGGAGAATGGCTGCTGATTTTCTCTTCTTTTAAATTTATAATCTTTTACATAAAATAAGGTAAACAATGGGATTGCTTAAACACGCTATATATATATATATATATATATATATATATATATATATATTTATGTAAAATGTGTGTATATATATTATTATAAAACAGCATTTACTTAAATATTTGTATCTATAAAAAGAATGTATAAACAAAAATGTCTTAAAATAATTGTTGGACTTTGTCCATTTCATAATGTGTGACATCATTTGTTTACATTTGGATACACTTTGAGCAGATATGAATGTATGTGAGAGATTCATGGAAGATTGAAGTTTAAAAGCAGTAAAATCGACCTTGCTAATCGAATGATCCTCCTTGGCTGGATCAGTTAAGGTACATCAGGCTAAATGACGGTTCTGTATAGGATACAGATTAAATTCCTGTCGGAGGACAAATATTTTCTATAAAAATTTCACGGACATTCAGACCGGTAAATGTTATTAATACTGTTTATTATAAAACAGAGCATTTACTTAAATATTTGTATCTATAAAAAGAATGTATAAACATAAAATGTCTTAATAAATATATATATATATATATATATATATTTTATGTAAAATGTGTGTATATGTATATATATATATATATATATATATATATATATATATGTGTGTGTGTGTGTATATGTAAAATATGTATATATATATATGTGTGTGTGTATATGTAAAATATGTATATATGTGTGTGTGTGTGTGTATGTAAAATATGTATATATATGTGTGTGTGTGTATGTATATATGTGTGTGTGTGTGTGTGTATATGTAAAATATGTATATATATGTGTGTGTGTGTGTGTATATGTAAAAATATGTATATATATGTGTGTGTGTGTGTGTGTATATGTAAAATATGTATATATATATATGTGTGTGTGTGTATATGTAAATATGTATATATATATGTGTGTGTGTGTGTATATGTAAAATATGTATATATATATGTGTGTGTGTATATGTAAAATATATATATATGTGTGTGTGTGTGTATATGTAAAATATATATATATTACATTACATATGTGTGGTACTTATTGAAAAGCACTCAATATCAGTAATAGAGCTAACATATTTACTTGGATTGATGTGAGTTTGTGACCCTGAGTTTCACACCCTCTGCGATCATCAGATAAACTGATTAATTTTTTAAATTTTGGATTTATTTATGGTTGGATATATCAGTGTTTTATGCTACCATATGGTACCAGTTTGTCTGATGATCGCAGAGAGTGTGAAACCCAGAGTCACAAACTCACATCATATCCAACTAAATATATATATATATATATATATATTAATTGATGTTTCATTAAATAATATAGACTAGTTTTGTCTATTTATTTTAGGCAAATTCCTTTCATATCATCTGATAAGCTTAATAAGATTATCATTGAAATACGAAAGAAAATCAGCATATTGATACACGTTTTTAAATCCTATATAAGCTTTCAGCTTATATAAGCCATCATCATGATACATTAATGAAAAAATGCTGCCTAAATTCACACAATATCTATATATTTATATGTGTGTGGTACTTAGAGGAAAGTGCTCAATAAAGCTAACATAGAGATTATTTATATAGGTGTATTTGTACAAGTTAAAATGCATACACCTGCATTATGTGTGTCTATGTATGTGAGAATGTCATCCCAAACAAACCCAGAGAAAATTTCCCCCCCATCCACCATATTACAAATAATCAAACACAAATAAGCATAAATAGATCCACTTTTTAAAAAAAATAAACCAGTTTATCTGATGATCACAAACATGTGAAACCCAGGGTTGCAAACTAATATCCATGCATCTGAACATACACACACACACATATATATATATATATATATATATATATATATATATATATTTTCTGATTTCTTTTTGAATTTGTTGGTCTGATGATTTGGATCATGATTATGATTCCAATGTAATAAATTATAACCAGTGTTTGAACCTTTTGTATTATATTCTTACTCTGTCCTGGACATTGAGTTCTACCTGGATTCTATCATCTTGGGAATTTATTATATATATATATATATATATAAACCACTAATATCTATATATATATATATATATATATATATATATATATATATATATATATATATATATGAGATAATGATATAGAAATTTTATATAATTTTTATATATCAAGAACAGTTTTGAAAGAAACGATTGTATGACAAATTGAAAAAAGTTTTTGTGATGCTTTTCATCCATTAGTATTTCATTGAACTGAGTTTGTTTACACATGCACACAAACAAGAGATGCTGGGAGTTTCAAAATTTAGAATTTTTTTTATTTTTTGCAAAGTAGCCAAATTCATCTGGATTCTTTTACATTGCGTTTCCATCACATTTGTTATTCAAACATGGAATATGTATCTATCCATGCATTCTACTTTTATTTAACACACACACACACACACATATAACTGATGTCTGATTATCCTCCTTCCCCTCCCCTCAGCATCCTTTGAAAAACTGAACATGTCATATTTGTCTACAATCGCCAAAACATTTGTTGCTTATTTGTTTTCCATATTTGTCAATGATGAATTGTCTAAATTCTGATGTATCATGTCATATAAAAATACCCCCCCACCTCCACACTCTTCTTAATTTTCTGTTTAGCATTGATCTGATATTTAATTGGTTGATCAAGACAAACCCATAATTCTGTGTTTTCTCTTCACTCCCTTTATCTTTCGGAAAAAAGGTAACACTTTGCTTTTGAAATTTTCTTAAAAATTATTTAATCACCAATCACTTACCATTGTCTGAAGAGGTAAAATGCAGTGCCGAAACACAAAAGCTATTGTGTAGGGATTTCAACATGTTTTTGCTATAATATCTTATAATAAAATAATAATAATATATATATATATATGTTGAAATTAATTTATAACTGATTATATGATGACTAATAAAGTCTTTTACTTATTATTTATTTATTTATATTGCTCTGTATATAAATTTATACATTGCACTCTCATCATGGAATTAACTTTTTAATATTTTTATATTAAAAGACCTCAATGGAATAATCCCTACCACCTAGTGATTTGGTAATATTTTAAATATATTTTTAATGTGGTTTTTATTAATGTGTTTTTAAATATAGTATTTAACTCATATTAAATCCCTAAATTATTTGTAAAAGAGTTAAAGATTTAAATTGCTACCAAGCATCAAATTAATTTCTTCATGGATTTTTTTAAACATTTAAATTACTATCAAACGTTAAAAGCTGTTTTTTTTGGGTTTTTTTTTTTTACCTAAATTGCTAAAACTATACCACCCCCTCTTCTTCCTCCGTAAACCCTAAATACATCCTCTTTCTCTTTACTTCCCCCTTCTTTCTTTTTTCTTTTTCTCTCTTCTCTCCTTCCCTTTCAACATATTATTTCCGTTAAGTTAACCGATTAAATAGGTCAATGTCTGGTCCCTCCTTCCTCAATACTAAGTATGATAGAAAGAAATATTAAAATAAATCCTCTCTAAACTCGACCATGTCTCTCACACCACTCCTCGCTACCCTCTCTGTTAAATTACATAAACTTAATACTACCTGTCAAAAGTATAAATTTTCATTTCATTTTTTGTTTCACCCTTTGGAAGTGATGTCTGATGATCCAGCGTCCTTTAAAAGGTCTCTGGTGAAATAAACTATTACAATGGAGCCTTAAAGTGGTCTGTTTTTCTTTGAATTACATATATAATACTACAAATAAATATGGATGTTATTGTTTGTCACCAGAACACAACTCTGAGTTTCATGCATGTGGCAATCGTCATGTGCAGATTGAAAACCGACCGTTGTAAAATTTAAATATTAATATTTATAACCTACTGTTAAGATAATAGCCAAGTTCATTAATTATAGAAAGAATGATATATATCTTTTTAAAAGTGTATTAAATATGAAAAATTAAATACATTGAAGAAAATATATTCATATGCACTTCTAAAAATGGATTAATTACAAAAATAGATAATATGTGTGTGTGTGTGTGTGTATGCACACACACACACACACACACACACACACACACATATATATATGTATAATCGGTCTGATGGGGTATATATATATATATATATATATATATATACGGATTTGTTTTCATGTATGTATGTGTGTGTGTGTGTGTGTATATATATATATATATATATATATATATATATATATATAATTTCTACAGAATTGATGGATATTTATTTATTAACCCAACAGATTTTATTACTTAAATGTTATTTTTAGTTGATATCCATATTTGAATAGACACTCCATTTATTACTTAAACAGTATATTCTTTTTTTTATTTTTATCTACAGGCCTGAATATTTGACAAATCTTATTAAAAAAAAATACAATCTCTAACAGGATTCGAACATGCGTACATCTTGGCAGGAGAAACTATCATTAGAACTTGGCCACAAATTGCATTGTCAATCAAGCAAATTTGAATGGTGCCTTATAAATATAAATCTTTCCTAGACTCTCAGAACATTCATATCTACTCAGTTTTGTTTCTTAACGTAGTTAAAGCAATTTCTAAAGAAGTGATGGAAGTTTATTTATCAATACAACAGATTTTATTACTTAAACTTCATTCTTAGTATATTTTGCTTTAATAAGATTTCTTGAATATTCAAGCCAGTCGATGAAAATAAATATATTGTTTAATAAATAAATGGTGTCTACACAAATATAGATATCCACTAAAAATAACATTTAAGTAATAAAAATAATATACACACACACACATACACACACACAAATGAGAAAAATCCACTGTTTGTAGCATTTACTTTTAAAAAAATGCTCAATACAAAGTAAAGCAATATATTATTATTATTTTTATTATAAGAGATTATAATAAAAACATTTTTTAAATTGCTACACAAAAGCTTTCATGTTTCAATACTAAGTAGAGTTATGAAAGCTTCTATGTAGTGATTTCAAAAACGTTTTTATTATAATCTCTTATAATAAAAATATAGAGGGGGGGGGAGAATTAATACAAATATAAAATTTGTCACTTAGCTGATTGATGTTACCTTTAGCACCCCAACTCCAGAGTTTCGTAGATCAACCCTCCAGAAATCACTCTGTCCACTCATCAGGGTGCCTTTAAGCATTCTCATAATTCCCTGTGTTAAAAATAATCCTACTGAATTCATTTGGTAAAGTCACTCTACTAATGTCCTGTAGACTATTTACAATTTAAAATTAAAGAAGGCAAGAGAACACAATGGCTAAAAATGTATATTAGTGTTCTTATTATACTGTGTACATGTACATATGTACATAGAAATATTGTATATGTGTTTTAGTATTGCCCAGTGTTTGTTTTGTCCTGTTTCTATTGAGTCTGTACTATCTGGCCTAGGGATTGAACTCATAATTACTATTGCTATTATCCTGTGGATTTAAAGCATTGGTTCATAAATTTGGTGACATAGTAATTGTTGAGTTCAAATTGGAACATTGTGATAATAACAACAAAGATGAAGATATTAGTTCAAATGTAAATAATGATAATTCCTCATGCCAAAAAAACTCCTTATTTCCCCTGACAGACATGGATGAAATACTTGTCCATAATTTGTTTAAACATCTAATTTTGAGAATAAAATTTTTTTGTTGAATTTCAAGACTGTATAGAGAATGAGATATTTGATACGATAATGTAAGGTAGTATGTTTCCATATTTCTAAAATTGAAAGTCGGCATATTTGTGCATAAGTGAATATAATGAACTTAACAGAAATTTGAACTCAGCACTCTGATTTATCATCTTGAGATGCTAATCATAACACCACCTGCACCTCCCAATCTTTGAAGAGTGTGCATGTTGCAATAATCTTTACTGAGGACAAAAATGATATCATTCTTAATGCTTGCTGTTTAAAAGTTGATTTTGTCATCAATTTAGCTAAAATCATTTTGCAGATTTACTGAATTTATATATGAACAGCCTTCTGTAGAGGGATGACAAGTAAGGTACAATATTCAAGCCTTTGTTAGTGAGTTCAATCTTCACTGAATGCACCATAAGGTTCTAATAAGATTCTTATTCTTATTGCTTAGCTGTTAAAACAGCTGGTTCAGACAAGCAGGCTTCCCTGGGGCAAAAGAGAGCTTGTCCTTTATTTCTGATCCACACTGTCTACTCATTGCTGTAGAATTGATGGCCTGAGTAACATTGTAATAATGTATGCTAACTGTGTAGACTCCCTTGCGATACATAGGACCAGAGCCTTACCACACTAAGGCTACAGCCTCACTATACTAAGTGTTACTGCTTTGATTTTTGGAGGGTGGGGTTGCTAGCCACACACCTTACCAGTCTGACATTCAGAGTCATGCTTTGCCGAGACTTAGTACCTGTTGTAATGGAATGTCCCACACTCCCTATCACCTATGTGGACTTACTATATCAGTAGATATCTATAGTAAGCAGAGGATATACCTGGCGGACTTGCTTCATGAATCATTAGCCTGATAATCGATTCCCTGTCTTTCAGTAGTATATTCTCTTTTACAATAAACCTTTCTTTCATCTACATTTGTGTTGCTGTTCCTTTCACTCAAGTACCACCTTTGTCTGTTTGTAACCTCTTTAAGGATACAACAGTACCAAACACAGTGAGAGAAATCAATCTGTCCTGTTATTAACTCCTTGCTGGTGGGGAAAAGAGATGAATCCATACCTTTCCCAAGAGGGGATATGTATAAAAGCAAATGCAATCTGAATGGAACTTCCTTCTTGCTAATGAACTTGATCAACTTTTTGCAGGTTATTTAAAGTTTAAAAATATTTTTAGATTGTAAGAATATTTTTGAGATAATAATAAGTCCTACTAATTAACCCATAGCTGGGGGGATAAGAGGTGGTTTCATACCTTTCCCATTTGAACCTAAGTGAATATAACAAAGCTGACACGAATTGGAACTTGGCTCTTCAATTTCCAATTCTGAGCCATTATCCATTACACCACCTACACATCCAAGCTTACTGCACCTGGTATTCCTAAGCTGTCACCCATCTAGGTACTGACCAGGCTCAATGTTGCTTAACTTTGGTGATGGTACAAGAACCAGTGTTTCAATGTGATGTATCCATAAGCCGCTTACTAATGGAATATGAAGAGAATAGGAATGATTTATCCCAGTGTATGTGACATGACAGTTAAAGTCAAAAGATCTGACCTTTGTAACTAAGACCCATCATGAAGTTCAGACCTTCCTTTGCATTGTACTTAAGAATTAAATCAATGTCTATCTTTGACTGATGAAAGGAACAGGAATTTGAAACATTTACCAATATTCAATAAAAATGGTCGATGCAGTTTTTGTCAACAATATCAGATTTTATTTTTATAGTTGGTATCCAAATTTTTGAAGTGATAGAATTCATTTTAGACACTATAAGTGTTTGAGTTATCCATTTTCTCATCTTGCTTTTTGTTATTTCTTTGTAAAGGTCACATAAATGAAGATTACCTACGCGAATGCTTAGTGACCATGGGTGACAGGTGGTCAGATGAAATGGTTGATGACTTGTTTCATGGCGCTCCAATCAGGGGAGGTAAATTCGATTATCTGGAATTTACAAGAACATTGAAACATGGTGCCAAAGAAAAAGATGAAGAAAATCCAACGCCACAGCAGCAAATATCGACACCAGAATCCTAGGAACGTTTCTTTTTTTTTTTTTTAATAAATTCAATATATACAATTCGTATAATAATAATGTTCCACATAGTGGAAACATAAAATGTGTTTTTTTTTTTCAAAATTTCCTTTTTTTTTCCAAAATTTATATATATATATATATATATATATATATATATATATATATATATATATATATATATAGTTTAGAAAGTAATGTTGTGTTTTGGGGAGACATAATAAAAGCATTTAAATATAACAAAAGCTAAATTTACATTATTTTATCAAAGCAAAGCATTCACTGAGGAACTTTTTTTAAATTCCTTGTTGAAAGAATCTGGGATTCTTGATTAAAAGAATTCTAATTGTAGAATTCTTCCTCACTCTTAGAGAATGTTCTAAAAGTTTAATCCTACAGAATCAAACAAAAATTGTAAAATCAATTATGTTAGAGAGATGTGATAAAATATCTCAAACTAACAATTTTTCTCCTGTTTTTCGGCTTGCATTGTTATTCTGAAGAATAACACTGACTAAATACAGACATTTTTTAACGATAAATGTCTGTTGTGTTTTTTGTACCTTATTAGAAATCATAATCAAGAAAATTTACCTTATCCCACCAACTGTTCACCAAGATCTCATGAAAGTGAAGCTTTGTTTTAGATGCTGATATTGGATATTTTTTTGTCATAAAGTTTATCAGAAAGAATAAAGAATTAGTTTCATAATGGGATTTTGTTATTGCTAATAATGAAGATCATGTCCTTTACAAATAGAGTTAACATTTTTTATATTCAAACAGGTTTTTTATTCCATCACTAAAAATGCAACATTACTTTCCAGAAAAAAAAAAAACAAACTTAGGAATGAATTTGGTTGTGTGACTCTAATTTAAAACAAATTCTATTATTCATTTTTCACTTGGACGCAATATTTGGAATTTTTTCATGGGGGAAAAGCAAAAACAGGCCTCTTATATCATTGAAAAGTTTTGATTTTTCTTTTTTTCTGAGGATGTTTTTTAGGACTGAACAATGACATTTGGTATTTTAAATTTTAGAAATCAAAATTTGTAAAATCTTCCATTGTGATAAAAAAAAAAAAGGTAAAAATTTAAAAGGCAAAAAAGAAAAAAATCTTTCTTCAGAAGCAAAGTAAAAAAAACTTCCCAAAAAAGTTAATCAGTTAAATGAAGTCAAAACTGAACACTTCCTGATTCTTTCAAAATGGAAAAATAAAGAAAAAAATGAAAGTAAACATGCACTCTTCCCACCACCTATTAATGGGTGTCGCATAGAACTGGTATAAATTTTCAAAAAAATTTCAACAAAAAAAAAAAAAAATTGCTAAAAAAATAAATTTTAAAAAACACATCAAAATGTTTTTGTCTTTTCTTTAATTCCATCTATATCATACATGTTTTTATCAGGTGAAATCTTTTCAACATTATCCAACAAATCTTTTAAATCATTTCTTGTTTCAGCTATCTTTATTATTCAACTATCAGGTACTCTATTGGTCCCAGCATACCAGCTTTAAACCCCTTTGAGGATGTATGGAATCTGCTGTAAACCACATTTTTTGAATAGATTGCATTAGAACAAAGGTTCATAGTGTTTTCAAAAGGTAGCATTTGAACAAATGATTTCATTTCACATGTAACTGAAATTTATAACATACACATATATATATATAATATATATATAACTAGTATACTATATACTACTTAGTGTATTGAGCACTTTGCTTAGTTATTTTACTTTACTTGTGTTGGAGGTTTTTCCTTTGGACTCTGAGCTTGGATTCTGGACAATTGTTTTTGCCTCAATTACATGTTCTTAGTTCTTTCTTTTTTCATTCCTTATTTTTCCTTGGGTATTGGTTTACAAGCCAAAACACCTAAGGTTTTTCCGAACGGGTATACTTTCTTATATTTATAAGATTATTATTATATATAATGTGTGTGTGTGTGTGTGTGTATATATATTCTGAAAGGTGACATTTCAATGCTTCTAGAAGATTCACATGTGGGTGGGGAATTTCAAACATTTTTATGTTAAAAATGAATGTAATCATCATTTGATGTTTTTTTTATTTCCAAAAAGAAAGAAAAACATTATACAAACAATAAAGAAGATATTTGCCATTTATGGAGATGGTGACATAGGTGAGAGAACTGTTTGCATGTGGTTTGCCAGGATCAGAAGTGGAAATTTTTATCTTTAATACTGAGAAAATCCCACTCAGCTTACAGTTGTTGTTGATTACCAAATGAAAACTCTGATTAAAAATAATCCACAACATAAGACAGTGCAGAGACACACCACATATCTGATATAAGCTTTGTAAAGCATTTGAAAATAATTGAATATGTGAATTTTTTTAATCATTTCACCCCAAGCAAAGGCAATAAAATCACTAAGATACAAGGGAGTTACTAAGTGTTAGAGAATATGAGAAAAAAAAAACACTATTAAGGAGAGAGAACAATAAAAGAACAGGAATTAAAGAAGACATAAGATCACAGTTGATATTACATTTAAATTTTTGAAGATCAAAGTTGACTGGGAAGCAAGAAGCTGGAAAAGAGTTCCACAAGCAAGAAGTGTGAGAAAATAAACTTTTAGCATAGAACTTACAGTTACATCAAACATCTAGCGGCCATTTCAACTGTAAAACGACAAGACATTGCTGCCATCTAATACTTGGGTGCCTTATGTTTTAACAAGGTGTTTCCCAACTTTTTTTTCAGTCAGCACCCCTGCCCTTTGGGCACAAACTCTGAAGTTGAAACAGGTTGGGAAACACTGCGTTAATATACTGAATTCATCTTTCATAGCAAGATAACACTTAGGTATTAGTGCAAAAATAATTTTAATATTGTTTTCATTTTTATAAATATCAGTGGTTAAAATGCTAAAAAGAAACTTTTAGTTGACAATTTATCTCAATGTTTCCCAGGCAATGATTAACTTTGCTGATTACTGGCTAAGGCTATTACTCTCAGTTTCATGCAGCTTACAAGTCATCGTAGATCTCTTCATTTTGTAAGGCAGTTTCTTTGTTTAGTAAGAAGCTGTGTAACTGCATTGAAGTCACATTCAGCTATATAGGAAGTTGGAAAAGCAATAAAGAAGTTTAATAGATTCCTACAGCTTTAGATACGTTTCAGAAATTTCCTTTTGTAGCCAATATTGAATAATTTTTGAAAAAATGGGTAAATGTCCCCATCAGTATGTACACTGCCCCCAAATGAAATAAATACTCCGAGTGCACCATTTCAACATAACAGAGCCCACAATAAATTGAAGAAAATAGACTCTGTTACATCTAAACATGATGTTTTTGCTCCATTCTAATTGAACGCTTTTTTCTGATCGAACTGCAGGGTATTGGGTGCTAGTAAGGAATATTATACTGAATTCATCTTTAATAGCAAGGTAACACTTAGGTATTAGTGGAAAAATAATTTCAGTATTGTTTTCATTTCTGTTATAAATTCCAATGATTAAAATGCTAAAAAAAACTGTTTGACAGCTTATCTCAATGTTTTCTAGGCAATGGTTAACTTTGAAAAAAAAATGATAAATGCACACGGTTCCACAAAATATGTTCACCACCCACAAATGAAACAAAAACCCCCTTTCAGCATAACAGCATCTCCATTTTTGATTCTCTATACAAACACAAGAAAAAACACTCCATTATTCACCATAAAACCTTTTGTTAAAAGAACATAATCTTTTCATTGTTCACCACACAACAATGTGCATGTATGCGACTCTTCAGCCCAGCCTCAGTCTCTATATGATTGTTTACAGATGTGATGCTTGAACTGTTCATATTTTAAGGGCACCAGCTGAAATACATTTTTGTATATTATGGAATGTTCAGTCAAACCACCAGCTGACTTACATACTAATCCACATATAGGACAGGTATACTGTGGTGGATGTGGTGGCAATACCTTCTCACAAGCTGCTTGATTTCTTCTTGAACTATTCAACTTTAAATTATTTACCAAACCTGCTCTTGAGAGAAAAACGCATTCATACACATTCCACCACAATTCCTGTTTAGGAATGGAGTTTTCATCCAGCATATTATTTCATTTCTTAAACATTAGTGTATACTCAAAATAAACAAAGCATCTACTCAAATATGGTTAACCACTAAAAAAAAACATTTAAGCAATAATACATATATATATATATATATATATATATATTTCTGAGATGAGATATTGTGTACAATATTTACATTATTCAGACTATTGTCCTCATATTTGTTGCCATATTTATTACAATGTTTTGGCTGTTGTATGCTCCGGCCTTCTTCAGGTGGTTGGAATGTCAAACTGAATCCTTTATTTCGCTCACTGGGTTAGACTGTTTTAGTTCCACGTGCCATATTTAATGGATGTCAGTTGTCAGTTATTTCCTGTTAATTCCTCTCTCGAAGTTCTCCACTGCCTTAACTGGATATTGAACTCACACTCTTTGGGTCCTGTCACTGGATCTAACTAACGCCTTTATCCATGGCCAAAACATTGTAATAAATATGGCGACAAAGATGAGGACAATAGTCTGAATAATGTAAATAGTTTATATATATATATATATATATATATATGAAGAAATATAGTTTTAAGGTGTGCTATATTTATGGGATAAAGTGCTCAATATCAGAGATAGAGCGTATGTAAATATAAATATAAAAGTGAACATTGAAGTTAACACTCAGAGGTGACAGGCTGTTTCATGCTAGACGCACGCAATTGTCTTTTATATATATATATATATATATATATATATATATCAAAAACTCAGGTGACTTACTCCAAAGAATACGTAACATAAATATGACTAACATGTCTATGGCGGGTTTAGGCATCAAATCACTAAACACCAACATACCCATCACAAAATGCCTTAATATATTAAGAAATCAGCTCAAAAAAATTTAAGGAAAAGTTTCCTCTACCTGTCCACAAAATTATTAAGATATGCAAATTAATT